TGAACAGCTTGTGTGTCGGCCCCTAATACCCTTCTGATAGTATTGCCCATTGTAGCTGGAATTATTGGGGTTGGATTAATACTGCTGATCATCTGGAAGGTGCTTACATCCTGGTATGACAAGATTGAGTACCAGCGATTCAAGCAAGAAGTTGATAATCCCAAATGGGGAATTGTGAGTACACATATTTGTACATGCCATTTTGTCTTTCATTTATACTTCATTTATACTTTATTATTTCTTTTACTTTTTGATTTGCCTTTTCCTATTTAATCTGTATTTAGGATATTCTAAATGTTTTTAATTTTTCTTTATCTTTTTCTTGTCTTTGTCTGCCTCTTCCTTCTCCTAACCCCAACTCATTTTTTAAATTAGTAGCTTACCCAAGATATCTTTTACAAATTCAGTAGCTAAATTTCATGGTACATCTTTTAAAAAGGAATACAAGAAAAACCTAGTGATGACCTCCCTTAACTTTCCAAATTGAGGGTGGAATTAAATTGATTTCAGTAGAAATGAAATACAGTCAAAAGCAGATGAGAATCACCTAATGTTGATTTCATATTGGATAACTGGGTATAAAATCATTGTTTCTCTATAGTTTTACATTACAGTTCAGGTTAGTGTGCTTAACCACAAGCATTTGGAATTGGGATGTGTAACTTGTCCTTGAATTGAATTGGATGCAGTTTCCAATCTGAATATATTGCACCCATGAATCACAATATAGTAAAATTATGGTATTTAGTTTTTGTACCAAAAAAGGATATCCAAAAGCCAGTTTGAAACTTCCATCTGAATGCTGATATGAATACATTGAAAATGATTTGAGAAACCAATTCCATTAAACTTATCCAACCATACTTTAAGGCTCTGATTATTTTCTGCCATTCCAACCAACACTCAATGAGTTGTGTATTTTACACAAGTATTGAAATTGACAAGTTCAGCCTTTTCTTTTTGACTTTTCAAAGATTGACGTCATTGTGACATGAAAGAAGTTTAAAGGTTGCATTACAATTACCGGAGTTGGGCATTATCATGGTTTTTGTATGATGACATTAGTTCTACATCACCTACCAGGACCATACTTTGAGAATTTCTTGTGCTGTTTATTATGAAGATAAAAAGCTCAAAAAGGAAAATTATTTCTACACAGAATCTTCGGTTTTCAGTCATTTACTTTCACCATTGTCTGTGAATCAAGTAGTGATTCTGTAATAAAGAAGAAGATTGATTTGGGGATGAATAGGTTAAAAGGTCAGGTCACCATGCCTGAAAGGAACAAAAATAATTTGTTTTGCATTCTGTTCAAGGCCAAGTACCTTAACCAAATTTGTTTGGATGCTTGCAATAAGGTACTGATTCAAGAGAGTTAAGGTCAAAGTAATTGTGATACTGAAAAATGCGTTTTGCAAAATAACTTTTGTTCTAAAATCCCATATGGTAATGTTGTGTATGGCTTGTCTTTTGGGTAGTAAAGACACATACATTCTGGGGTCCAATGGTCATGTAAATCTAATGGTTTCTACGTTTTGTGTTTTGCTAAAAAAAAAAAAAACCTTAAAGAAAGTCAAGGTCATTGAAACCCACTGAACTCTCCTCATTCAATACTACAATACCTAACAGAGGAACATAATGTGCCATTCTGTATCCTCTTTTTCATTGCAGAGTTTGGTCATAGCCTCTTTTCTACATACTGTGAATTTGGTATCCTTTTGTGTTTTTCCTCTGTTGATGTTTTTGTCATCTGATATTATGATCATGTGATCCCTATTTAAATGTTGGTGGTGCAACACCATCATTTCTAAAATAGAAAAAGAACATATCTCATTTACTTGCCTTCCTTGCTTTGTTGTAAAACCAACAACAAGAAACCAGTGTTTTTTCTGAACAGAGAAGAATGTGTCTTTTCCAGTCATTGAATTTCAGTTTATTGTGGTTTATTTCCATTGGAATTAGGATCTTTGAAATGTATGTATTTTTGCTTTATGCAATGAAATAAGTGTTTCTACAGCTTGCAGTATCATTGTTTTTGCTTAATAAGAGTGTCTCCAAGTAACAGTATCATACTATTTTCTTTTTTCTTTCAGGGTGATAATCCATTGTATGAAGCGGCAAGCACCTCATATGAAAACCCTTTACGAGGCAAAGAATAGCCCACAAAGACTATTAAAATGTAATAAATCATTTCAGAAACCTGAACGCAAATGATAATGTATTGGTTTGGAAAATAATACAAGAAATACTCATTTAAATAAAATTAAAATGTATGCAATTTTGGAATGGAATTATTCACAAATTTCTTCTGATTCACTGTTTTCAGTAACATCTTACCATACATTTAGATAACGCAAGCACAACGTTCATAACACTTTTGTGTCAAATTTTCTGCAGTCTGTATGTCCCGTCTGTATTGACTATAACTATTCTTTTGGTATGTGAATGTAATTTCTCAATAATTTGTTTATTATTTAGGTTATACTGATATATTTCCTCTTAGATGTGACTTTTAATGTACATAAAAACTTCTCTATCACACCAACTCAGATATTCAAAAACCTTCAACATAACAATAAATAATTATATCTTTATTTTTATAGGCAATTATGATGTTCTATTTCAATGTAAATTCAATACTGTTGTATTCCAAGCTTGGATGTTCGAAAGTGAGATTAGTTTACAATTTACAACATGCATTGTTCAGTATATTCACCCTTGTTATATTTCCTTTGAAAAAAGTTGATGAGATCAAATGATGGAAAAAAGAGGAAAAAGGATTTCTGATGTCTAATTGTTTCTATACCCTCATTTATTGCAGTAGCATCCAAAACTGGGTAGATCTGCAAATAGTCAAAGTAATGGTGAAAATTAAGAGAAAAAAATGCAAAAGATTAAAAACTAAGAGGAAATTAAACAAGGTTATTAATCTATTATTTAGGAGCAATGAAGTTATTTAGAAGAGATATATTTAGTTGACATATTTGCTTCCTTTATCCTCTCACTGTCCTAGTGTAAACTTGCTCATGTTTAATAATTTACTATGTACATCCATTTTAATTATTGATCAATATTTGTTGAACTCTTTTCTTATTTACCATTTGTAGGCCATGATACAAAATAAATATGTTGTAGAGAGCTAAATATAATAAAATAGAATCCAGAAAAACTGTGGTTCAAAGAACTGATGATATTGAAAATGGTTTATAGGTGATTACATGTGATGTACTTTTGATTATAGTCTCAAATGAAAACTTTTGATAGATAATTTTAAAATCTTAGCTAGCTTAATTGGTATTTCTGCCAAACATGTGTAATTCAAACTAGGGCAAATAAACATCATATAGTATTTACTTGAAATTATCAGGGTCTAACTGTTTTGGAGTTTGAATCATCTTAGAATATGGTATGGTATGTTTGTAATAAATATGCATTTATTTCTAATCCTAATTCTATTTTCAATTGAACATATATGAATTATGCTTCAACCTAATTGTAATTTTTTATCATTGTACATGTAATTTGCTTAATTAATTGTGCATTACATCTGGTAAATTACATGCTTGCTGTGGATATATTATATTTATGATTAACCTGAAATATCTTGTGTTAACCTAAGATAGAAACTTATTCATAAATGCTTAATTTTGACACATAAACAGCAGCAGATATTAAACTATATCCATTATTTTAAGTTAAGTCCAACTGCAAACAAAATTGCTTGATACACAAGCAGATCAAAATTTGTGTTGTTTGTTACACTGATTGCTCCTAACAAAGAACATAGACCAAAATCAGCCAAATTAGGGTTGTCAAATTAGGGTCTGTGAATTTTGCAGTTGGACTCAACTTATAAACAAGTACATAAGGTACTGGCTCCTCATGACATGTATTTTATCCAGATTATACCTTGATTAATGAATGACCAGAAAATAATTGCTTGTTATAGAAGTGTCTATGCTGTCAACACATTTTGGGACATAATTCTTGACACTTTTAACTCAAGTCATATTTTCAGATCAGAAGAATGTGAAACAGTCTAGTCTAGTCTAGTCTAGTCTAGTCTAGTCTAGTCTAGTCTAGTCTAGTCTAGTCTAATCTAATATAGTCTAGTCTAGTCTAGTCTAGTCTAGTCTAGTCTAGTCTAGTCTAGTCTAGTCTAGTCTAGTCTAGTCTAGTCTAGTCTAGTCTAGTCTAGTCTAGTCTAGATTGGTTGTAACTCTTTACATTACAGGATCAAACATGAGTGTTTATATCCAAAGAAATTTATGAAAGAAGCTGCAAGTCTTGTCCAGATAAATTTTGGAATCATTCTGAGTTTCACAATCTTCATCTGAAATAAACACACATGTCAGATTATATTTGTGAAAAATCAAGAGTGCTGATTTTATTTTATATCAATTCATTTAATAGTGAAGAATACTCACTTTGAAATACATTTGAATGTCTCAATTGATACACCTGTCATTCACATGAAGCTATAACATCATTTTATGATGTCATTCTGGGTTATCACCTGTTCTACATATAGGACAATGTCAACAACACATTATTCATGTTCTTATATATATATATATATATATATATATATATATATATATATATATATATATATATATATATATATATAATATACATACATACATATATCTATGAATACTACTTTATACATTCTTTTGATATTGATTTTGTTATTAACTGATACATGCAATGTCCTTTGTTTGAATTATTACTTTTATAATAAAATATTTTGACTACTGTGTTTTATTTTCTAACTGTAGAGTGTGTATGTGTGATTTGGATTTTTAACGTAGTTTTAAAAAAATTTTCAGTGATATGTCTGCAGTGTGGCAGTTTATAGTGATGTCTAGCACTGGGGCATTATGCTGCAGACATGTAGCATAATGTCCTACCCAGTTACATTATCCTGACACCAACCTCTTAATGCTGAATGACAAATGACTCAGACAGCTGTTAGTACCATTTTTATTTCTTTGGTATGATGCAGTCGGGGTTCAAACCCGTGACCTCCCACATCCGAGGTGAATGCTCCAGCCACTAGGCCACTGGAGCAATCTAAATGTACAGTGCAACTTTTATTATTGCTGTTGATCTTCATCATTAAGAATCTTTGGGAAATAATCTTCAGATATAGACCAGGAAGCTTGTAAACTTGACTGGATGTCTTACTCCAGACTTGGAAATCTTAGCTCAAATTTATGAAAGCAGCCAAACTTATATAATGGAGTTGAAAAACACTCAGTGAATTGTAACTCTCTAACCTGTTTCATCATATTTATATCTTTCATGTAATCATTTATTCATAAAATAATCATTATTTTCAGTGTCTTTTTGTGGCTAAAGAAATCACGTGAGAATTGGCAAACAAGATTCAACCCTAACTTTAGGGTGAACATAAGAGGTTCTGTTTTGATCTGGACAATAGACCATCGTTCCTAGTTAGTACCTATATTTTTGCAACAAGACCTATTTAATTTTGATGGTATTCGTTTCTTAAAATATTTTTCTTTAATTACAGATTGAAGCGTAAACTGTGTTAAGTGTATATAATGGTTAATTTAAATATCATTAAGTGCAATTTACATACTAATGCAATTTCTCAAAAGGTCTCAAAATGTATAGACAACATAATATCAACGATATATAAGTTAGAATTGCCCATTCAAGAAGACGAATGAACTGAAATATAAACATAGCCTAGAGCAGACTCGTTTTAGAACAAAAATACTAAAGATAATCCATGTAAGAAATGTTAGAGACAATAATTTTCTAACCAACATAAATAGGCTCGATTGGTTACGAACAATAAAAAGGAGAAATTACAATTTAAAAGAACCCCAAAAATTTGAATACTTTTCTCTTCTTCACGTATATTCTTCCCTTAACAATTATACATCGGATCTTTCTGTTTGTCATGACTTGTGAACACCCATAATGCAACTTTCTTTCTGAGGATCAGAATTAAACACATCGTATAACCCTCATATTTGATGGATCCATTTTGCAAAGTGAATATCGTGTGTTTGAAAAATCGAATGGTGTTGCTAAATTAAAGCATACAATAAAAGAATTCTCTTATTAAATTTGATTGCTTTCAGGATTCTTGTTTTTTTTTTTTCTCTAAAATCATCAAAATCGTTGGATAAACCCTTTATTTGAGGACACGCACGAAAGGCACACGAAAAATGCAAATAAAAGTTTAGGCCACAAAGAGGTACCAAAGGATTTCGTAGCACGTGTTCAAAGGGTCACAATTTCGAACTTGCACCACATAACAACTGAGTTGGTGGATAAACGAGCAAAGTTAGATACAAAAGATATGGTAGAGACCTATAAAGGTAACGAGGAACAAAAGTAAAGGCAACTAACCATGCCTCTTCCTACGAGAAGAAGAACTGTTAAACTTTTACCCAAATGGTTCAAAAGTGATGTGTGAGCTTTAGCACAACCTCGGGGTATCACCAGTACCGCGCTATTGATGACTGATAAATCTACATTAGTTGTTGTTGTTGTTGTTGTTGTTGTTGGGCTTAACGCCATTTTTCAGCACACGATAGGCTATTCATGGCGGCCAGTATTAATGGTGGAGGAAGAAACCGGGAAATCACCGGAAAGAACCACCGACCCACGAGAAGCTACTGGCAAGCTTTCTCACATATCTACATTAGCCGAATCCTAGACTCGAACCTACGCAGACAGAGGTGAGATGGCAGTGATCCGTAACGGACAGCGCTTTAGACCACTCGGCCACTCGGGGCCCCTACATTAGTTGTTACGTTTGGTATTGTCTTATCTAAATCTGGCATTGACAACAGTGCTGTATCTATAGCGATAGAACCAAGACCTTCAGATATAACACACGCCCCATAAATGTTTATTTCGAGGGTAAGGTAAATAAGAATGGAAGGGAATCCGATATACTGCACAGAGGCAAAAGTTTTAAGGGAAAAGTTGCAATGACTGTTGATACATTAAACACTCTCAAATAACAATAAAATGAATACAAAGCATCATGCAACAAATTACTAGAAGTACACGTATTCCATCCGTGTTCATCGGATGAACCTTAGAGTCAAATATAAATAAGTTGCAGAGAGTTAACTGCAGAATTGTTAATGTATGAAGACGATCGAAGGACGCTAAATGAGATTTAAACACTGGATCATGGTAATGGGGGGGGGCATAATTAATCCGAAGTGTACTAAGTACACAAACAATGGGCAAGCCTATCCCAATCATCCGAAGTTCTAAAACAGTCTGCAAAATGATAGCAAAGAGCCTCCCAGTCAAAGTCACCGCTATAAATACTAGACCATCTATGTAAATCAGGGTGCATTAGTGTCAAAAAGTGGGGCAACGGTAAGTCCACAGACCACTGTCAGAACAATGAAAAGAACAACAAAAATTGACAGAGAACTGCCAAACTGTTAACATAAGCAAAACTTACGAGTACACTAAATATGATACGAACAGACGATTTAGCAATGGATACTTTCCTTATCTAGAAGCCAGTTTCCTTTCTAATATTTGTCATGACTGAACATTTCAGAGTTTAAATAAACAAACCAAACATAGATGTTTACTTCATCATCACGTGATGAGTAATCTGTGATGAACAGTGGGTAAACATTATTAGAATATAACGAGAATGCCCTTAAATACCAGCTGGTAATGGTTTATAGTATAATGGGATACAATAATATACTTTGGTCGTGGAAATCATCAAATCAGCCACTGTATGGTTGATATATGCAATTAAAGCCTGGGTTCGTTCAGTATTTATACTTGTTCCAATTATAGACTTTTAAAAGCCGGAAATGTTATCTCCAAGCAGAAAGTCAGCAAATGGCAACTAGTGCAGCAGATTCAATGATTATCTATACCGAAATTATGTTTGATTGACCCCTTCGTATGACAGTGATCATTATTAGCCGATGCTGTGAGCACAAACACGTCTACAAAATACGTAATCATGTAACAAACAACTATTGTATCCTTGGAGATTGCCATCTAATCAATTATCGCAGCACCGGATGTAGGACTTGAAGCAAGTAATTTTTTTTAATTTATGTAGTTTTTGCACTTTTCATCGTGTCTCAGATGAAATAAATCCTACAAATTTCTCGATTCAGATTTGGGGTCAACAACAAATAAAAGAAAGACATCTTGAAAAGTTTCTTTCGTTCAGGTTTCTTTTCTTAGAAACTTTGTACCAATTTGTCTACCTTCGTTATTTAGCTCTCCTATATTTTTCGATTAAAAACGAGATATTTACATGTCGTCTAAAGGTAGGTGGAGTAAATGACTGACGGTGTATGTACTTATTCTGTGTGATACCTTATGTTTCCATATACTTCATACAGAGGCTGTTGTCCTCTGACAGCTTTTTGATGCATCAAAATTTATATTAAAAAAAACCAATAAAAAATAGAAAAATACACAAGAAATAATGTTTCAAACTAAACATTTATTGGGATCTCATAATCTCTATATACAAACTCATGTCGTTACAAATCACAAAAGAGCATTTCATCAGTCACTTAGTCACTGACGCTACTGGCCATTGCAAACATTCACGCATTTACTGACACTACCGGGCATTGCAGGCAATCACTCAGTCACTAACACTACCGGGCATTGCAGGCAATCACTCAGTCACTAAAACTACCGGGCATCGTAGTCAGCCACTCAATCACTTACACTATCGGGCATTGCAGGCAGTCACTCAGTTACTAACACTACCGGGCATCGTAGTCAGCCACTCAGTCACTTACACTATCGGGCATTGCAGGCAGTCACTCAGTCACTAAAACTATCGGGCATCGTAGTCAGCCACTCAGTCACTTACACTATCGGGCATTGCAGGCAGTCACTCAGTTACTAACACTACCGGGAATAGAAGTCAGCCACTCAGTCACTTACACTACCGTGCATTGCAGGCACTCAGTCATTAACACTACCGGGAATAGAAGTCAGCCACTTAGTCACTAACACTACCGGAAATTTCAGTTAGTCACTCAATCGCTGACACTACCTGGCCAGATTGGTAATTCACTGCTTCCGACTATGCGTGCATTTTTACAAGGGGCCCAATTAAATGACCCTGTGTTGACAGGAAACCTAAAATCCAGTACTCGACACAAAAATCACCTCTTATTCTCATATTAAATATGGAACATTAATGACTTTAAATAATGTAATAACAGATCAGATATAATTCTGAAGAAGCAAATTATTTTAAATAACAATTATTCAGACATCTTACACGGTACAGTGTATTGTTTTACCAGACTGTGAATGTGTACTCACTGAAAAACCTTGTATAGTCGTTATCACTGTAAATATGTACACACTGGAAACACTATCAAGTCACTATTCGTACATACATATTTAATGCAAAAACTATTCCACAAAGAAAATAAATTTGAACATAAGAAAGTCAATGTTCTGAAGTAACACGTGACACTTCAGATATTTATGCAAGGCTGATATCGAAATTAGCCAAGAGTAAAAAAAAAAGATTGAAGAAGATAGTCAAACAAAACGAATTTTACAGGTGTCATATTAAAAGTTAAAATACATATCAGTTACTTTTCCCGAATAAATAATGTAGCTTAAAGAATATTGGAAACCAGAACCAATTGTTATGTACAAGAAAAACTTTTGTATCAAACTTGACTCTACCTACACGGATGAATAATTTTATGTAAAATGGAAAAAGAAAATTGATTGAACTTATTGATATTATATAACGAAAAAGACAATAATTAAATTCCTTGCACACTGAATGATTATGGCCTCGTCTGTCCTCTCACAGATGTCAAATGGCATTGTGTAGACACTGCATAATACGGGGTCTAACGCCGAAATCATACACATTATTTTCCACACTAAATTACTTCATAACATTGTCGTTACTGCAAATAAAAATGCATTCATACAAGCAGGCACATACTATATAGAAGCATTTACCAATCATATTCACCCAAAACCTTACAAAAGGGAAACAAATTTTATTTAAATGCTAGAGAAACATATCAACACCATGTATATTGT